GAGGAGGAGGAGGAGGAAGAACATAGTACACCCTAGATAGTGCAACGATGCTGCAATGCACCCCGTCCCAGGCCCCCATCAGCACAAGTCTCTGCAATGATTCTCAACGCACGAAGAGAAATTCCATCCGTGCACCCGAGGCACGCTCTAGGACTCGTGGCCGCGATGCCGGTCTCACTTCCAAGCGTGAGCACCGCTTTAACGAGGAGGCGCTTTCCACCTGCGTAGCTGTTGCACATCGTTTTCGTACGCTTACTGTGTGTGTGAGGAAGTCTTGGGCGAGATCCCCATTCTGAGAAGGAGCCATCCTCCGCCCGTGTAGCTGGCGGAGATGGGTTTGACCAGTGCGCGCGGCGCTCAGGCGAGAGCCCCATGTCGAAAGCCACCCGCCCTCCATACGCGTAGCTGTTGGGACGTGTGTAGGCGAGTGTGCGCGGTGCCAGGGCAAGAGCCACATCTTGAAAACGACTCGCCCGCTATGCTTGTGATTGTTGTGATTGGGGATTCCAAACTCCAGGATCGCACGCAGTGAAGAATTGCCAGGCGAAGTGTGTAGCCCGCCCTGAAGGCACGTCTGGTGGTGCGACAGGGATGGGTTATTGATCGAAGATGCTTACCGCGAACCACCACCGTCCCCTGCCTTTTGGGAATGCCCATGCGGCCAAACGTAGGCCAAACTCTAACCAAGTTGTTGGGCTATGTGTTCCCCCCAGCCGTTGTGGAACCTCACCTACGAGAGACCGCGAAAGAAGGATGAGGGGGAGGGGAAGGCGGCAAAGGAAACGGAACCGTCGTCAGGCCGTCTGGTGGTTTTCTGGAGACGTTCTGGGAGCCTCTTGGGGGCCTCTGGGAGGAGTTTTGGAGGCCTCGCCCATTTTGGGCCTCCTACGGCCTCTTCGCGGCCTCTTCGGTGCCTCTTGGCGGCCTGCCTGGGCCCCATCGGGGTCTCTTGGCCCTCGGAGGTCGCCTTGGGGGCCTCTCTGGGGAGTCGTGGGCTTCTCGGGCGGACAAGGAAGAGCAATGGAGGAGGAGGAGGAGGAGGAGGAGGAGGAGGAGGAGGAGGAGGAGGCGGAGGAGGAAGACCAGGAGGAGGAGGAGGACCAGGGAGGAGGAGGAGGAGGAGGAGGAGGAGGAGGAGGAGGAGGAGGAGGAGGAGGAGGAGAAGAAAAACAGGAAGGGACGTCGGACGTCGCCGTCCAGGCGCCAGGCCTCTGCCGGCGCCCAGACATGGTGCTGTTATGCTTCTTGCTCCGACTCCCCCGCCTCGTGCTGCTGTCCGTGTTCCTCCTCCGCCTGTCCGCTGCTGCTGCTGCTGCTGTTGCTGCTCCTCCTGCTCCCAGCTCTCTGCGTCTGCCTTCTCATCCCGCCGCCCTCGCCTCTCCCTCTCTCCGCGTCCCTCTAGGCCCGCACCAAGAGGGAGGAGGAGGGGGAGAAGGAGGAGGAGGAGAAGAAAAAGGTCAGAGATGGGCGCTCCTGCTCCCTCCTCCTCCTCCTCCTCCTCCTCCTCCTCCTCCTCCTCCTCATCCTCATCCTCATCCTCATCCTCATCCTCATCCTCATCCTCATCCTCATCCTCTTCCTCCTCCTGTTCGTATCATTTATGGGAAGGAAGGACAAGTTATGATGGATATGATCATCGGATAGAGGGGGAGGGAACATTGCCAGTGGGAGCGTGCGAGGCAATGGAGAGTAGCAGGCCAGAGCTCCCGCAGCCGCACTGGCTCAAGGGAAGGTCCGGCCTGTTCTTTACAAGCGCCCTGGCCGCCCGGTGATAGATAACACCGATGCTTCATCCGAGAGGTCCCACGCGGATCGGCGCTCTGGTGCGGGCACCCGGCCTCTGGCCTGCATGCCTTGTCTACGACGTAACGCCGCGGACCGCCGCTTCTCTCGGCGGGGAAGACCACGTCATAAACCAGGCCGATTTTTTTGCGGCTCCGCTTCTAATCTGGACGGCGTCTCGCCTCTTCACGTGCATGGATGTAATTTAGTTCATCGATGACAAGGCAGCAGAAGCCGCGCTGGTGAAGGCCAGCTCCCCGACTGAATCCATGTGCCGTCTAGCGCTCGTGGCGACAGCAGCGATGGCATCTTGTAAGGCCCGCCCGTGGTTCGAGTGGATTCCCTCGCGCGACAATCCAGCTGATGTGCTCAGTCGCGTTGGCTTCGGCGACCCTGTCGTCGCGTCTCACGTCGAGTCTGGGCGGTGGGAAGCACTTGCTCCCAGAGAGCCACTTGCCGCAGAATTGGACATCGACTGTCATTTTGTTGTACCAGCCTGACCGAAAATAAGGTCCCACATCCACATCAGTCATCGATGTTGTTTCTCAGCGGGGGGGGGCTTTCTTGATGCAAACCAGACCAGCGTTGGGACTCCTCTGCGCAGGCTCGCGCCCCCCCCCTGTCCAGGGACTGGTGCGCCCTGCAGCAGCCCCCCCAAGGCAGCGAGTCAAAGATTGCAGCTAGGGCCTACCCTCCCCCCGCTTCCTTTTCCGATCGA